GTAGGGCTGGGGGGTTGCTGGGCCGAGGTGGGGTGCTGGGATGGGGTGTGGGCAGTGGGATGGGCCGTAGGTGTGGGTTGGGTAGTGGGCTGGTGGGCTACGGGTAAAGGGGAGGAGTGATAGGGTGGGGTAGTTTCGTCATCCGTGGCATCGAGAAATTTTAAATCGTGTGAAGTGAGGGGGTGACCGTAAGGAAAATTAGACTCGTCAAAAATAACATGGCGGGAGATAATGAGTTTGTTAGTTTGAAGATCCAAGCAGCGGTAGCCGCGTTGGTTGGAGGGATAATCGAGAAAAATGCAGCGAGCTGAGCGTGGTGCTAATTTGTTAGGGGTAGTGGCAGAGATGTTAGGGTAGCAAAGACAACCGAAAACTCGGAGATGAGAGTATGAGGGTGGTGAGTTGTAAAGTGTAGCATGGGGGGTGTTGTTATTGAGAGTGGTGGTGGGAAGTATATTAAAAATGTGGGCGGCCATGTGAAGGGCCTCGACCCAAAATTCGGGGGGGAGTTGGGCTTGAAAAAGAAGAGATCGAACGGTGTTGTTAATGGTGCGGAGGGTGCGCTCAGCCCGTCCGTTTTGTTGACTTGTGTGGGGGCAAGAGAATCTAAAGAGAATGCCTAAGGAGTCAAAAATATTTTTAAGAGGAGAGTTACGAAATTCAGTTCCATTATCGCATTGTACAGCTTTGATTGTTGTGTTAAAATGATTTTTGACATATGCTATGAAAGTGGTTAAATGATTAAAAGCGTCACTTTTGTGTCGTAGGGGAAACACCGATAAATAGTGCGAAAAATCATCCAATAAGATCATGTAAAATTTAAAGCCAGTAATACTGGGTACAGGAGATTGCCATAAGTCTGAATGTAAAAGTTGAAAAGGAAAACTAGAAACACGACTAGATGATGAAAAAGAGAAGCGCACATGCTTTCCCAATTGACATGCATGACATAAAGTATGTTGATAATTTTTAAAATGAGAAATATAAGGGACGCCACAGAGGACAGCTGGGCTTGGGTGACCAAGGCGCCTATGCCAAATCTGGGGATCGGCAGCGGCGACGTGGGCTTGTGCAGTGGTAGTGCGTCCTACAGGGTAGAGAGGTCCCATATCATTGGATCGATGCATCACGGTTCCCGTCCGACGATCCTTCACAGAAAAACCATGAGCATCAAATTCAACCGTACAGTTATTATCACGGGTAAGTTGACGAACAGAGATAAGGTTGGGAGTGATGTGAGGGGATACTAAGATATGTTTGAGGGATAGGGGAGGGGTGGTGGGGATGGTGTGGCTTCCATCAGCCGTAGTGCAAACTTTAGATCCATTACCAACAGTGATATATAATGGTGAGTATAATGATGGAGAAGAAGAAACATAAGAAAGAGTACCTGGGTCGGAGGCAATGTGGTGTGAGGCGCCGGTGTCCATAAACCAGGTTGGCTCTTTGAGGGACATGGTGTCAAAATGGTGGGCCAAGGCAGTA